TTTTCTTTTGTTCTATAAGCAACACTAAGAATAAAATAAAAAGACATGTAACATAATTTGAAACATGTAAAAATATTTGAAATTATATATTTAATTATGGTCTACTGTACCCAACATATAAAGAACAATGCAAGTTAATAATAAAATGGACAACCTGTCAGTCTTTAAAGATGAGCAAAAAACTTGAATAAACAGTTTTTCAAAAAAGATATATGCAAGTTTCCAATGAAATTCTAGTTAATAACCAACAACAATGAGATAACAGTTAATTGCCAATAGATGACTATATCAAAAAGATAACATGTGTTAGTAAAGATGTGAAGAATACGGAAGCCTCACAATTGTTGGTGGTAATTGAAATAGTGCAGCCAATTTGTGAAAAAAGGCAGTTCTCCATGATGTTATACATGGAACTATTATATGGCCTCAAAATTCCACTCCCAGTTAAGTGTCCCCATGAGTAAAATGGAGTCAGTATAGTCAGGCCCCCTCACCTAATATCCAGAGTGTATAATTCAGCACATCCATTGTAAACAGGTTACATAAGAGGAGCATAACTGCACATGTGCGCCCACATGTACTCCTGGGCTCATTGCCACTATTGAGCACTTTCAGTATAAAAGGCAGCAGCTCTGAACCACAGGCTGGCAGAGCTCTTGTCGGAATAAAGCTTGTCTATCCTGTTATCAGCTGCCAGGATCTTTTCTCAACTACCTGATTCAGGAGATGCACAGGACAAGGCAGAGGGGTCTGTGATTCAATCCAACACCCCCAAAATAAAAATCTGTGGCCATCCAAGACTCAGGCATGAATGCTCATATCAGCACTATTTTATATAGCCAAAAGTGAATGCAACTCAAATATTCATCAACTAGTGGAAGGAAAAATAATATGTGGTATAGCCATACAAATTTCTTTAGCCATAGGTGAGCACCATTACCACACCTTGTGTATTCTTATGCACATTATTCAAAACACATACACACTTATACACAATTTGCATACCCAAATGGGAACACACATTACTTTTATTTTTTACTTTTATTTTTATTTTTTTTCCTTTTTACTGACCAGTAACGGGATCGCAACCCTC